ATGGCTGCCGCCCCCCACCACTGACTCACAGAGGGTTCCTTCTGACCTCAAGGAACTTGCCTGTTCCTCTCGGTCATCCAAGATGCCCCTCTTTCTTCTCCGTCCCTGCAGGATGGTTCCAGTCCGAAGACCCATCGGTGGTGGTTCAGCAGCTGGGGTTTTTGCAGGGCTCGTCAGAGCCCGCTATTTCCCCGACTGTCTCGCCGTGATGCCAAACCGGAAGTCTTTTTTTACATATTCTTTAAATCAGGGATTTTAACCTCAGTTAACCAAAGAAAGTGTAGACATTTTCAAATACAGAGAAAAGCATCTGCTTCTGCAGTTTGGGTGCTTTTCTAGATAAGGTAGATATTCCCTCTGGTGACTACAGAGTTGCAGCAATAAAGCAATGACAGGAAAACTGCCTTATCTGGATATTTTTTCACTTCCTCATTTAGACTAAGTCCTTGGATCTCCTAGTTAGTTTCTTATCTGATGTTGGCCAAGCTCAATTTAATGCTTCAAAGTTTCTGCAGGACTCAAGAATACAGCTACAGGGAGAATCCGGAAGCGGCATGGCGTGACTAGCTGGGAAAATGCCGGGCTCTGACGAGCTTGGCGAAATCCAGCCAAACTGTCACCAGGGGCTCTTCAGACCGAAACTGTCCTGTAGGGACAATGAAGAAGGAGAGGCAGCTCAGTATCTAAAGAGGGACAGGCAAGTCCCTTGGATAGCCCGAGAAACTCTTCGATCCAGTGACGGGGGTGGCGATCAGGCTCAATCGCCATGAAGCTGGAGCCTCTGGACCAAGCGATGTGCAGGAAGGAAGATTTGAACAGAGTGTTGATGCTGGGTGAGTGATTGGCCATCCATAGACAATGAAAAGAACTTCAAATATTTTAAACTATTAAAATTACCCTTGCTATTTAGGGTAAAATTACCCTAAATAGCAACGGGGGAGATGGCGGATGGAGAAAGTGGGAATGACAAGCGCGCCAAAGAAGAACCCAACCAAAGAATTAAAAGTGATTGATAAATGGAAATGTAAATTTGGAACTTGGATTTAATTTGGATTGGATTACAAATTGATTGGTTGTATATAAAGGTGAAAGGAGAACTGGAAAACTTGCTTTTTCTCTTTTTTGACTCGGTAAAAACAGATGTGGATTACAAATAAAATGGCGATTTTTTTAACTAGCTGAGTGGAACGGTGGATTATAGAGACACATCTGTAGGAGAAAAAAGAACATAACATGGAATTGTCTGTTTTGAGAAAACCTTTGAAGAAGCAAGGGGGGGAAAATAAAACCTTGAACTTTTAAAATGAGAACTGGCGAGAACTAAGAATGATATATTTTGCATACAAGAGGCAAGAGACTTTGATGATTAAAAAAGAAGAACCTGAATACGATTTAAAACTGGAATAATATCAACCCGGAAAAAATAAAATGGAGCAGGAACTTAACGAACTGATAAAGACGATGTGTTTAGAAATAAAGGAAATGATTACTAATTTGCATGGAAAATCAAAATTCGAGAATGTAAAGACTGAGCTAGAATGCACTGAAGATGAAAAAGAAATGACCAATGAGAAACAAGAAAGAGAGATGGATAACGAAGAAGACAAAGACAAAGAGATTGACTATGGAAAATTTAACAATTGTAATATTAAATATGGACAAAAAGAAAAGACACAAAGAAGGAAAAGAGGGTGGAATAAGAAAAATATTAAAAATTTAAATGATTACACTGGGATTTACAGTGGAAATATAAGAAAGAGGGAAAAGAGATGGAGAATAATAGGAAATAAAGGACAAAATAAAAGATTTTATGATTTCAAAATACAAAATAAGTATACTAGAATTAACAATAAAAAGACACAAAAAAGGAAAGAGAAAGGAGAAACAATGGGAAATATAGGGCAGAATAGGAGAGTGCAGAATTCTAAAATACAAAAGAAAGGAAGAAGAAGAAGAAAAAAAAGGCAAGGAAGAAAAAGAAGGTTGAGAAGAAAAAATATTAAAAATATAAATGATTACACTGGGATTTACAGTGGAAATATAAGAAAGAGGGAAAAAGGATGGAAAACAATGGGAAATAAAGGGCAAAGATTTCATGATTTTAAAACACAAAATAAATACATTGGGATTAACAATGAAAAGATACAAAGGAAAGGAAAAGCAGAAACAATGGGAAATATAGGGCAGAAAAGGAGAAAGACAGAAAGACATAAAGAAATGAAAATATATTCAGAACTAAAATTTAATAAATGAGTTTAATGTCAGAAAAAAAGATTTTAAGACAGTGATTTTAATTAAGTGATTTTAAAATAAGGGGAGTATAGAGCTGTATGAAATAAAGGGAATAAGATTTATACTCTATATTTTAAGTTTTAAAAATGCTCTACGGAAAATGGGAGAAACTGCAATAAATGTCATATGCTTAATAATATTGGAGGTCTATAGAATGATAGGTTTTAATAATATGAATAAACTTGTTGGGTGAAATGCAATAATTGGAATATTTCAAACTATATATCTGAAACATAATCAAAAAGAGAAAAGAAGGCAAATTAAGAATATTTTAAGAACTTTTAAGAATATTTTAATGATTGGGTAAAATGAGAAATGATTAAGATGCGCTTTATAAATATATATTTGAATAAGTGGAAATATATTGTTAAGATATTTTGAGAAATATATTCAATAATTGAAATTGAATGTAAAACTGAATGAAATTGAAATGATAATGGATGGGGAGGAACAGGCTTCGGCTCAACCCTTCCAAGACCAAGTGGCTGTGGATGCCGGCGTCCCGGTATAGCCAGCTGGTGCCATCGCTGGCTATTGGGGGCGAGTCACTGACCCCCACAGAGGGGGCTCGCAACTTGGGCGTCCTCCTGGACACACGGCTGTCTTTAGAAGAGCATATGACGGCCGTGGCCAGGGGGGCTTTTTATCAGGTTCGCCTGATATGGCAGTTGCGCCTCTTTCTGGATCGGGACTCCTTGTGCACAGTCACTCATGCCTTGGTTACGTCACGCCTGGACTACTGTAACGCTCTCTACATGGGGCTCCCCCTGAGGAGCACCCGGAGGCTCCAGCTGGTGCAGAATGCGGCCGCGCGGGTGATTATGGGAGCGACGTGGCGCTCCCACATAACACCTCTCCTGCGCGAGCTGCATTGGCTCCCGGTGGTCTTCCGGGTGCGCTTTCAGGTGTTGGTTCTCATCTTTAAAGCGCTCCATGGCTTAGGGCCAGGGTATTTGCGAGACCGCCTGCTGCTACCGATAACCTCCCACCGGCCAATACGCTCTCACAGAGAGGGCCTCCTCGGGGTGCCGTCGGTCAGGCAATGTCGGCTGGCGGCCCCCAGGGGGCGAGCCTTCTCTGTGGGGGCACCCGCCCTGTGGAATGAGCTGCCTCCTGGAATACGATTGATCCCGGACCTCCGGACCTTCCGTAAAGCCCTGAAGACGTTTTTATTTCATCAAGCCGGCCTGGCCTAAATGGTTTTTTAATTGGGATTTTAAATTTTATGGATTTGGGGTTTTAAATTTGGGTAGCCAATGATTTAATTCTTTTAATTATCTTAACTTTTGCATTTGTATGTTTTTTAATTTTGGCTGTTCACCGCCCTGAGTCCCTTCTGGGAGAAGGGCGGTATACAAATTAAATTAATAATAATAATAATAATAATAATAATAATAATAATAATAATAATAATAATAAAATGATTTAAATATTATACTTGCAAGTAAAGCAGAAAAAATATATTGGTAAAAGTAAAAAAGACAAAGGGAACAAGATGAAATATAGTTAATAATTAAAAGGACAAGGGATCGGGGCTGCCTGGACTCCACAGTGGAAAATATTAAATTGAAAATGAATACAGCAATAGAGAGAGATGAAGGAGGAGAAGAGAGGTGGAAGGGAGGAAGAAGGAGAGAGAGGGATGGAAAAGTAGGGAAGAAGGAAGGGAAGAGAAATTTGGAATAGGAGAGAAGGTAAGACGGGGAAGAGAGGAGGAGAAGGAGCAGTGAAGGGAGAGTAGAGAAGAGAAGAAGAAGGTGGGAAAAGAAAGTTGGAAGGAGAAGAGGGAGAGGGTAGGTTTGAGGAGAAAGATTGCTGTACAATAAAAAAGATGAAGTGGAAGAAAGGCACTTTATCTTATTAAGATAAAGAATGAACTGTTTAAGAATAAAAGAGAATAAATATGAATAAACAGTAAAGTCAGAATTTACGGACAAATGAAGATGGTGTTTATGTATGCAAATATAGAAATATTGAGATATGTTTAAAAAAGGCGGGGGGGAGACGATTTTGGAAAGAATTGTAACTGTGTAAAATGTATTTGAATTTGATTAATTGTATAAGACAAGAAACGCTTGTCTTATATAAAACACTCTGTTAAAAAAAAAGATGTGGGTGAATGTGGGAGAGGAGAAAAAAACCAATAAAACTTGTTTTTTTAAAAAAAGAATACAGCTATAGGTCTGCCAAGTAAACTTGGTTCCCCACACTTCCTAGTTGCTAGGCTTATTTGCAAAGGCTGGCACTACATGGAGTTCCATCAGCGTTTTTCAAATTGGGCAACTTTATGATATGTGGATTTAAAACTCCCAGAATTCCCCAGCCAAAAATCCAGACATTTTAAAATTATCTAGGCTGAGAAACACTGCTGTAGATTAGTGGCAGGAGGTCAGATTTCTTCCTGATCATATTTGAATGGCTATATTGGCACCACAATATGTGGCTTCAAATATGTTCGGGAAGCAAACTGAGCTCTCCGCTATCAATCTGGCAGTGATTCCCAATTCTGACAATTTTAAGATGGGTGACTTAAATTTTGGAATACAAATCCACTCATCTTAAAGTTGTCAAGTTTGAAAAACGCTCCGTCAACGCAGCGCTGCCTTCTGCTCCGGAAGGGAGCTCCCTTATGGACCCGCGCCCAATAAAAGTCTTCCCTCATGCAAGGTACTTTCCTGTGAGAGATTACGAGAAAGAACAATGCTTACCGGTGATCCAAATCCTAGGGCTAGGAAGTGAAGCAAAACCAGAGCAACCATGTTAAAGCAGCAGGGAAAAGAAATAGTAGAAAATACACCGGCATCTGACGCAGCCAGGCCCACTGGCCGCATGACTCCAGAGTCAGCTGATCACTTCCGCCTCGAGAGGTTGCGCGTGTCTGTTTGCAGCTCTAAAGTGTAAGCGAATCCCGTTTTCAGAATGGTACGAATAATCATTCTTCTGTTGCCCGCTGAGTTTCAGCTATTCTCAACTTTCTTCCGTTCAGAATATTGGAGTTCGCGTTTCTGTTTCTGCTAGCTTGTCTTCTTCCGACTCCTGTCCTACACTTGAGTGGGATATAATATTCTTGGGCAGACTATGAGTTTCTCAGGTTTGCAATGTTGAATTGACATATGATAGACGCCCTGAAGAGCCAAAGGAAGTGAAAGCGGCTCTCTGAGAAGGAAGTTAGGTCGTTTTCCAAAATGTTTCCTTTAGCTCTTCACAATTGCTCGGCTCATGCCAGAGCGCAGAGGGTAATAAAAAGGAAACTCGGGTGATAATAAAGGGAGCCCACAAAATAAAACAAGAAATTTAATAATAGTCAGTATTCCAAAGAGAAGCTCATCCAAGTTCTAACCCTGCTTAAGTATCTGAGAACAGACTGGCATATTTTATGCTCCAAGAGCATCAGCGCAGTTACTGTTTCTCTCAATTTATCTTATTTGGAACTGAAGGAAGGAACTGAAGGAATATAGTTCACCATCACCAAACCTCAGTGAGGTAAATATAGCAAATAAGGAATAATGTAGATAAAAGAAATAATGTGAATAAAATAGGAATCATACAGAGTCAGATATATGGGCTCTGGGGGACCCTCTCTATTCACATTATTTTAAGGGAAAGACGTGCTTAGATACATGAACTCTGAGGGACCCTCTCTATTCACATTATTATAAGAGAGGAAAGTGCTTGTTGGAAATTACATTAACAAACAGTTAAACCCCATTAAGTGGTAATATATCTTCTGAGACCTAGATGTCACGGAAAGGACTGCCATATGGAAAAACATCTGAGTGACCTCACTGTGAATGACACAAAGACCTATATGTTATAAAGAGTTACTTAATCCAATAAACTTACCCAAGGACAGTAGTAACTCTCCCATTAGCAACTCCGAGCACTTAAGAAAAGTTGTGTGGCTAAGATAATTTTGTAAACTAAGATTAATGCTTTAAGTAATTAGATGGACTTATTATCCAGTGTATGTAACCATATAGGGAAAATCTATTCTGAACCCAATTTTTTTCCCACGTTTCCATCATAACTGGTTCTGCAAAATTTTGCGCCCATTTTATCATACAATCTTTAACCAATTCATTTTCTGAATCTCTTTCTAACAAAATGTTATAAACCCTCTTAATATGCATTGGGTCTTTCTCTTTTATCTGTCTAACCAGTTCTTCTTCATGCAACATTAAGCCAGTTTTTTGATCTTCTCTCCATCTCAGTTGAAGTTGATTATACTGTAACCAAGTTAAATTAACCCCTTCTTCCAACAGTGTATTCAATGTCTCTAGTTGCCATCTGCCCCCATCATTAAAAAGTACTTCTTTGTATAAACCCCCCCCCCCGAGTGACTTTATATTTATATTCCGTATAATGTGACCAAGATCCAACCACAACGGTATTTTATAATCCCATTTGAACCGGTGCTTCTTCCATACTCTCATCAAGGAGTTTCTAAGTATATGGCTATTAAATACTTTATCCACTTTATTTTCATAGAATAAATATGCATGCCAACCAAATTCAAGATCATAACTCTCTATATTCAATATTTGGATTTCGTAAGATTTTTGAATCTGATTTGCATTTTACTAAAGGCAGAGAATTGATGCTAAAGTTTGATCCAAATGTATTTCAGATTTGTTTGTTTGTTTGTTTGTTTGTTTGTTTGTTTGTTTTTAGCAGCATAAGTGGTTGCCCTTTTAGAATTTGTTACAGAGATGGGTTAGAGAAAGTAGAATTGATGGAAGGGAGAAGGTATGTGATTTGTTTTTGGAAGGTTATGGATGTTATATAAGAGGAAGTGGTGTTTTTAGTTGACAGAGATCAGATTAAGTGAACAAAGCATTTGAATACACTTAATTAGTGAAGGGAATGTTGGAAGATATGAGAAGCTCAATATTAAAAGAGCAGGGAAATTCCCCTAAAGAAAATAAGCAGAAACTCAGGCAGAGTTTCAGCCCTCACCTTTACCAATTGGTCATTAAGAAACTGAGATGGCCACCTTATTTTCCACAACAAAGGGGAAAAAAAATTACAGGGGGCTGGGAGGGGCAGAGAGTGGACTGTGAAGCGGTTGCTTGTTTGCCAGATCCGGGACAGAAGAGCCTGATCACAGGCAAGGACAGGATTTGGGCACCATGGAACGGTCACACACACAAACCAAAGAATTCACACGCCACATCAAAAGACTTTAAAGGGTCACATAGAAAATCAAAAGATGTTTTAGAAAAAAAAAAGGTTACTCTTACAGTTAAGACGGGCTGGCCTCGGAACGCTGTGCTTGTGTTTGTTTCTTGCCTGCCTTCCTAGAAACAATAAATTGATTTTACTCTCAAGCAGCTGACCTCCAATCATTTCGAAGTAATCTCCCAGTTTTGAATTCAGGAAGGGGAAGCTCTGCCTTTCAACAATCCTTAAAGGGAAAGGCTTCTTTTTCCTTCCAACAGCGTCTCAGCCTCTATCTATAAACAAGCAAGAATTAATATAATTCTATGCAAAATTAATTGAATCTGGACCTTGGCGTTTGAAATGGGAGGGACATGAAAGAGGAAGCCTTGAAAATTTGAAACAAGCATTAACCAAGGCTCCTGTATTAAGTTTACCAAATTTGGAAAAGCCATTCAATCTCTTTGAAAACACAGAAAATTGAATTGCACAAGGAGTGTTGGCTCAGAAAGTAGGAAATTGACCTTTGGGGGAGCCCTTCCAGAATTCTAAACAAAAAAATGAAACAATTTTAATGCAGCAGACAGACTTGATTTTAACTACAGATCACAATTTGAAGCAAGCACAGTTCTTAGCCAACACCAGATCAATGGATCAGTTTGGATTAGAACATTATGGTGCTGAAGTAATTGATTTACATACACAAATAAGACCTGATTTGGAGGAACACCCCCTGGAGAAAGGAGAAGCAATTTGTACACACTAAAGAGATCCTGGAAACAAGGGGTTTGCCTCGAAATTGGTCTGCTCAAACCTTTGAATTGTATTCATTAAATTAAGCTCTATGGATAGGGAGCCTGGATAGCTCAGTAGACAAATGCATTGTAATTTAACTCCAGCATGTTTGTAATTAGTAAATTCGAATCTCACCAGGCTCAAGGTTGACTCAGCCTTCGGCTTCCGGTTTGACTTCCGTCACCACCAGACGGTCCTTTGAGACCGCCAGCCCCGTCGCTCGTAAAGAGCCGCCTTTACATCTGAAAGGCGGCTCGAAAAACTCAATTTCCATAAGGAAATGTGAGATAGAGCAGGTGAGGGCAGGTAGAGTTCTCTGCGAAGTCCCCAGAGTTTTTCCTTTACTCTTGGGGACGAAGCAGGATGAGGCTCCCTATTTCCCTCACCGCTGCTCCGGGCTTCGGGAGACCTCTGCTTCTTGCAGAGCCAGGCGACGAGATCAAGCCTTTCAATGAAAACAACAGATTTCTTAATTAAAGAGGATGAGATCTGGACTTGGGAACCTAAACTCCAAGTATTTTTAATGATTTTATAAGCGTTTCTAAGCGAAGGAAAAAAAAGCTTAAAATGGCGACTGCTGAGGCTTGAGAAGTAGCCGAAAGTGAAAGTCCTTCTGTAACAAGATACAAAGTAACTGAGCAAACAGTGGTGGCTAGTCAAAACAAATAGAGAAAAGAAAAAATTTCTATTCTAAGTTTCTTTTTTTTTTTTGAGATCTGATATTGAAAGTCCTCTTTCTTCAAAAAGAGTTTGTCTGTGTGGCAGGATGGCGTTAAAATTAACAGAGCCAGACAAACAAGCAGCGGTGGGGGGTTTCCCCCATTTACAATTGTGTGAGCAAGTTTCTAGTTTACAGACTCAGAAGGATGGTTTTAATTTAAAAGAATTTGTTTTGAAGGAAATGGCAAGACATGACGAGATTGTGAACCAGAATTTTGAAAAATTTAAGCAGGAAATTAAAGAATTCATACAATTAAAGTATGATAACTTACAAAGAAAGATTGTAACAGTGACTAATGCTTTTTCAGAAATAGTTATAAAGATGGATACAAATATCAAATTATTAGAGTCTAAAATGGAGGAAGTTGATGATAAGATTTATAATTTGAACAATAAAATACAAAGAATGGAAAATGATTTGATAAATATTCAAGACAATAGTTCTGAAGTAAAGTCTAAAAAGGAAGCTGATCACGAGACTTACAATACAGAAAATATAAAACAAGGGATTGAAAGAGAAGTTACAATGATGCAATACAGGATCACAGAATTTGCGGTCAGAGTGAGAGGATTACAGGAAAACAATAGAGATGATTTAAGAAAAATATCTGCTGAAGTTCTGGCTGGGATTTTAAAGATTCATCCAGAGGAGGTATCTTATAAGATTGACAAGGCCTATAGAGTAAATTCTTGGATTGCAAAGCAAAGGCAATTGCCCAGAGATGTGGTGATTTATTTTACAGATAAAGAAATAAGAAATGATATTGTGCAAAAATCTTTTAATTCTACTCTACAATTGTATGGAAGAAAGATCTGGATATATAAAGAGTTGCCGCCCTAGATATTAAAAGATAGAAAGAAAGTCGGATTTTTGGTGACTGAGCTAAAAAAACAAAACATCTCATTCAGGTGGGATGTCCCAGTTGGCATAATATTGAGATATCAAGGAGAAAGATATCAACTAAATTCTGTTGAAAAAGCGGAAGAATTTTACTATAAGGTTCTTAAAATGGGCTCAACATCTTCATGAATAATACATGAGTGGAATAAAGAAAAGCAAAATCAACAAGAGATAGAAATTCAGGATAAGCAGAAAGAGATGGAAGTAATGGAAAAACAACAAGTTACAGAGGACTTTGTAGATGAGCAGCTTCTGGATTCTCCTTCAGAGGTTACAGCTGGACTATTTATAAATACAAGAGAGGCGGCTTTGGATTCTAATGTGATGATTCATCAAGTTACAGACCAGCATAGAAATCAATCAGTTGACATACAACTTAAAGAAAAGAAACCAGAATGGAGACTTAAGCCACAAAAGCAAAACCAACAAGTTCAAGTTATAGATCAGC